ATGGTTAGCTGCGAATAAGAACAAGCAATTGTTCAAATAAGTAGTCCCGGACAATTCAGCCATCTTGCCAACAGAGTGTGGTGAAGTTTTGGATGGCACCAAAACGCCTATGGAATGCTACAGAAACCCAAAGACGACAAGATGACAAGGCGCGTATAGGCCGCCAGAAGCAAGGTTCACCGAACTGAGTTTCATAAGCCTTAGCCAGGGTAGGTGAAGCTCTTTAGCCTTGACTGATAGTTCGCCAAATGGAGTAAACCATTTCAATCCGGCGGAAGGCAAGGGAAAACCACCGCTGTACATTCCCAAGCACACCATGATTAACGTCAAAATTTCCAGTCGAAACAACACTGTGAAGGGGGTTCTCAGAGAGATCACCTCGCTCGGTAGGGATGGTCACAAAGGACAGGTGACCCTCGACTGTCATTAGGCTACTGTCCATACCAAGAACTCGCTCAAAATAGGAACCTGGAATGTAAGAACTATGTTCCAAAAGGGAAAACTGGAAAATGTGAAGAAAGAAATGGAAAGACTAAAGCTCAATGTGCTAGGTTTGGGTGTGTGGGGTGTGGGTGTGGGTGGGTGTGGGTGTCGGTGTTGGTGTGGGTGGGTGTGGGTGTCGGTGTCGGTGTGGGTGTGGGTGAGTGTTGGTGTGGAGTGTGTGGGTGTGGGTGGATGTGGATGTGGTTGCTGGTGTGTAAGTGTTGACAATGCAGAACAGGATATCAACTCCCACCTACACTCACACCCACATCCACACACCCGCGACGATGGAGAGATTCGGTTCGGTTCATCCTTGTCACCTGCCACATCTTTGAAACTACTATATCTAAATTGAGTGTTTTAACCATTTAATAACCAAGGATATATTATCTTTTAATAAGAACAATAATAAAAAACTTAACATGCAACAGTGAAAAGGTAGAGTAAAACATTGAAATTTAAAATCTTAAATCTTTATGAAACTTTCTTATTGTTTGCTCAAATGAATTTAAAAATACAAAGAAAAACGATGTCTCATATTATTAAATTAGAATTTCTTAATGAAATATTAGATGAAATTTGAAAAAGAAAATTTCATTTTATATAATATAATTAAAGAATATCTCAACAATTACAGTCAAACAACAAAAAAAAATCTAATCACAATTTTTATAGTGCTGGTTTTTGTTATGTTGATTACTTTCAGTCGGAGAGGTGGCACAATTTATTACAATCATAATTTAAAAAATCTGTATTCTAAACATATCTGTCATTATCTATATGCACATTGTGTTCATATTCATATTAAGATGATTCTCATAGAAATACTTCTAGTATGAATTCTATTCACTACAGAAGAATTGTGTCAAAATTCTGATTTACTATTAGAATTATAATCCATCACATGCACTGCTTTCTGTATCTAAATCAAAATTCTTCTTAGAATCTTCTGTCTGTAGCGGAATTTAATCAGATCTCCAATTCACTAGCATGATTGTGTTTCATTCTACAGAAAATGTGGATGTGGATGCGTTTCATGAGCAGACCCAGACCCATACCCACTCTTGACACAATTGTGTCATATTGTTTGGCATGACTGATGTAACTGTTTTCATATTGATTCCGACCAACCTTATAGAGTTCAAGAAAGTGTTTCATTGATAAAGAGATATAGGTGGAACACTGACTGAAGAAACAAAACAACATTCATATTCACAGTCAGATTCTCATCACTTCTACACTCTACATACATACGTCGAGGTAACTAAACTCTTATAGAAGACTATTTGTTAGTTGCTAAGATTTCGAAAAAAATTGATGAGTAGTTTTCTGTAAAAATCTTTATATCTTTTCAACGTAAACAGCCTTGTGTCGATCGATCGAGAAGACGTTATTCTATCTGTTGATTATAATATAGTAGAGAAACTATACTGTTTTCAAAACTCATAATGTACCTAACAAACAAAGTGACTAAAATTTTTCATCAACTTTGTAAAAAGATAGGCAATGTTAACTTTAGATAGTACGAAAAATTCGAATTACTTCTCTCTTTCTATTTAAAAGCTATTGAACAAATCTCTACGTCCATTTACAACTCTCAGAATGAACATTAGTCATAGTATGAATTCGAGAAATATTCGACTAGTATACCCACGGCAAATTTTTTTTCGAAAAACCGCTCAAAACCGCGATTTTTTTCATTCGACCGCGGTTTTACTAGAGGAAACCGCGGTTTGGATTGGATAACCGCGGTTGATAGCGGTTTTTTTGAACCGCGGTTTTCTGAAACCGCGTTGCTCGTATTCATGATCGCGGTTCTAAATACCGCGGTATTCAACGGTCTAAAAAGTCGCGGTATGATAATTGGAAACCGCGGTATTTCAAAGCACGGTATTCAGCGGTTTTCAAAACCGCGGTATAGTCATCAGTAACCGAGATGATAAATACCGCAGTATTGAGTGGTTTTTTAAACTGCGGTATATTCATCGGTAACCGTGGTGGTAAGTAGGGCGGTACTGAGCGGTTTCAAAAATTGCGATACAGTCATTAGTTATTGCGGTAATAAATACCTCAGTATTTAGTGGTTTCAGAAACCGCGGTATAATCATCAATACTCGCGGTGGTAAACATCGCGGTATTGAGTGGTTTTCAAAAACGCGGTATAGTCACTAATAGCCGCGGTGGTAAATACCGCGACATTGAACGGTTTCTAAAACCGCGGTACAGTCATCAGTAATTGCTGTGATAAACACCGCGGTATCTAGCGGTTTCTAAAACCGCTGAATAGTCATCAGTAGTCGCGGTGGTTAATGAGGGCGGTATTGAGCGATTTCAAAAACTGTGGTATAGTCATTATTTATTGCGGTAATAAATACCGCGATATTCAGCGGTTTCTAAAACCGCGGTGTAACCATCAGTAACCGCGGTGATAAATAATACGGTATTCAATGGTTTATAAAACCGCGGTATAGTCATTAGTAACTGCGGTGGCAAATACCACAGCATTCAGCGGTTTCAGAAACCCCGGTATGCCATCGAATAATCACGTTATTTATTACCGCATTTTTCAGCAGAGAAACCGCGGTATTTTTGGTGCTTAAACCATCGCGATGGAATGTGTAAGGACGAAGAGGATGTCGTGCCCCGCTATTTTTATGAAAATTTTGCATAAGTTTTTTTATTCTATCTCTCACTACAAAGTAACTTTGTGGTAATGGAACTTCTAAAGTTCACTACAGACCCCTTGAAGGGTCGCTCACCTGAACTTTATCATAAGTTTAGGTGAGTCTGATCATACCTGAATCAGGTATGGTCATGGAAACCGCGTTTTCCAGCGGTTCCAGGAAACCGCGTTTTCTAGCGGTTCCAGGAAACCGCGAAAGTCAGACCTTTTATTCGGTTTTTTAAAACCACCAAAAACTTCGGTATTGGTACACTGCGGTCATCACCGCTTGAATAAACCGCGAAAGTCAGACCTTTAATGCGGTTTTTCCAGACCGCGGTAATCAATGGTTTTTCGAAACCGCGGTTTCTCGCGATTTTTGTTCAAAAATTTTTCCGTGGGTAAGTATATGAATATGATATGTCGTCTGACTTAGACAAGTCTTGATTTTCATAGAAAAAATTATGGACTAGACGGATTGCTCATTATACACTATTTTTTTTCTTGACTGGATACAAATATTTTGATTTCTTGGTGCTTTTTGTCATCGATATGATATATAGATATACACCTCTTAAATAGAAAAGGCATTACCAAATATATTTGGAGTAGCAAAAAAAGAAACTTCTATATTAGATACTTGATTGTTTGTGCTATATTTTAAGGTAAATAATGCTCATAGAGAAAAACTTAGTGTGTGATATGTACTTCGTTCTTTTTACGTCAATATTTCATTTCCTAAAACTTTTTAAATAGATCCAATATTTATTAATAAATAAGAGATAGCAGGTAATATCAGTTTGAGGAAAGTCGGGAGTTGAGGAGTATACAACAGTAGTAAGATCTCATTCATTTTTAAAGATTAGATTCATGGCTATGTAAATATAAATAATCGAGCAATAGCCTTCTAGCGAAATTTAACATTTTATTTTATCTTCCAAATAGTGAAAAAATTTCCTAGTGCATAAGCAAGATTTAACACTTCAAATTTAGAATTTATGAGATTCTAAACATTTGAGTTAGTTTTTCTTGTAGATTTTTTTTTATTGTTTAGAAGAGAAAGTTAAACAAAAAACATTGCTAGAACCCTATTACTGGATTATTTACATTTATATGGATATGAACATATTCTCTTCAAAAAAAATAAAACTACAGTATTGTTGTATACTCTTTAACTTTCGACTTTCTTCGACTCAATGTTACCTGGTGTCTCTTATTTATTAGTAAATACTGTATTTTAACATTGTGTATAATATCAACGTATATAGGTTATATTTTATTCTTTCCTAGTTTAAAGGCGTTGTACACAGTCAAAAATATCCGAAAATATGAGTTATAACATGCTTGAGGTAAAGAAAAAAGGTACTATGTTAAAACATGATTTTCTGGACATTTTTGATTGTGCGCATAACGCGTTAATTTCATATTTCTGACTGTATGGGTTAACGAGCATTTTTCACAGAATGAAAATAAGTTAATTTAGTGGCAACATACGTATAAATAATTCAGATATATTTCATTGAATTCTCACTTCTGCCGATATAAAGCGATTCATTTCAAAAGACTAGTTTTTCGTTCTTAAAAAGAATTCATGAGATGTATCAAATTTCTTGACTTTGATCAAGATTCATGTCATTATAGTAAGGCATAATCATATAAATCGATTGACGACGATATAATCTTGCTTCTACGTTTCTATTACACATTGAGAAAGACTTATCTTTGAGACAGTTAAATGAGATTAGATTTGAGCCGTAAAGGGAGCATTTTAAGTTAATCAAGTAATGATTTTTTTATAAATATTCTAATCATAGTTTACATAATCGATTGGGCTATTTTTTCTTCGAAAAGAGAAATGGCTACAGTAAATGAATCAAGTGTATGTTCAATCTGCAATAAACCTTCAATTAAATATTTTTGCATTCGATGTAAACAACATTTTTGTCCAAAAGATTTCAAAGAACATGAACAACAGCTATCAATAAAATTCGATAATGAAATAGTTAGATCTCACGATGAACTTCTTAATCAAATACAAAAATTAGAAAAATCAGATATTTTCTTATCTGATATTTTTGCTCAAATTAATGAATGGAAAATAACAACAATCAATAAAGTAGAAAAAGCAGCAGGAAAAGCTCATCATGAACTTATCGAACTAATCGATAAACAAAAAATCAAAGTAACAAAACAACTTGAAGCAATTGCAAAAGAAATTCGTTGTTGTCGAGAAGAAGAAAATTTTCTCGAAAATGATATTGATCGACTAAAACAAAAACTCAATGAAATTCAACAAACATTTAGACAATTAATTCAAAAAGATACAAATAAAAGCATCATTGTTAATAATGATCAAATTGATTGGAATCGACTAATCTACATTCGAGAAGAACAACAAAACTGTGAGTATATTGAACTAGGAAAAAAGAAACTCTAAAACAATTTCATTAAAAATGATTGGTCATTCAATCAAAATTTTTCATTTCATTAATATTTCTAAACTACTGAGTGCTATCCAAGATTAGTTGCTGTAATACTTCAATTCATTGTAAAAAGCTTGAAGAAACTATTTCACTGTCATATGTGACAATTATGTTAATGGCTATTTAAAAAAGGCGGAGAAGATATACTCTGAATAACTTCTTATAGAAACAAGATAGAGAGCTACAACTTTCATCGTTCAAAAGAGAAGATAAAGATATATCGAATGGTATATTATGCGTTTTTTCGACATAGTTTTTTAAAGGTTTTTCAATCGGTCTGTTTGAAAGCAAAGCTGTCCTGTGAGATTTTCATAGTAAATTTTCAATTGTTACGGGTATTTTCAACTCATCAATGAAAGATCTATAAAACTGCACAATTTTCAGATGCTTACAGTTAATCATTCAGGAATTATAGGTATTCTAGTCGAAGCTCTAAGTGATCTTTCTAGGCATTTCTGTGAAAAGAGTTTTTCTTGCTATTTCTTTTTTCATAAAAAAAAAAAAAACATTTTTTTCCACCCTTAAAAAATTAATTGAACAAACTTTAATCCAATTATTAGAAAAACGCATAATATACGATTCGATACATTTTTGTTTCTTCCTTTGAACGATGAAAGTCGTAACTGCCTATTTTGTTTCGATCAAAACTTATTCAGAATATATACACTCTACCTTGTAAATAAATACTAGTATAACCATTATTATTATGATATTGGTTGCGAAATTACGTCAGAGCACAGAAATATAGAGCATTGATTTTACTATCAGTTCATATAGAGAAAAGATTTCTTCAAGCTTTTTATAAGGAAAATGTTCACGAAAAATGAATAAAATGTCTCTTGACATCGTCATTTTGACACAATTGAGCCGATTTTCATCCGAAATGAAACACATGCAACTCCCCTGAACATCATTTGGAGTTCCGAAATAAATCATTTTTAGCATAGGGCACAGAGTAGTCATTTGAATGCGATTGATTTCGTTTTTTGGGAAACAATTTTACTATTGAACATATAAAGTTACGAAACTTCAATAATGTATACCAAAGTTCATATTTACTCTTTAGTTAGGATTGATTTGTGAATGATCTAAAATTGATTTTCAACTCGTAGTGATAAGAATAGTTTTTCATTCATTTTGAAATTTTTCGATATTTCAAAAACTCAAATTGTTTTAACAAAATCTATCCGAACTAATTTTTTAGTTCTTCTACAAAAAATTAAGAAATCTTTGATGAGAGTTAAGGTAAATTCAAGATCTTCTATTTGTTCATGTATTTTACTTGTATTAGTCGTTTCCAATCATAAAAATTACTCTTTCAACCATTAGAATAACATTCACTTTTAGTCATTTGAAATGTGATTAGTTTTAAGTCAAATCATACCTTGTCTAATCAGCACCTATTAAAGACCGGTAAAAAATACCAGACAATAGCATCTAAACGAAACTCAAGTAGTTTTGTTTCTTAAACAAAACCCACTTCTAAAGGAATTAGCAAGTATATGATTTTGTAGTCATTCTTTCAATTTTTTAAAATCAATCAAAACTCTATAATATCTTTTTACTATGCTCTAAAGATTCAGAATAAGGTAAGCAGAAGTAAATAGAAATTGTAATATTACTATATAATTTTCATAAATCATTTGAAATGGTAGTTACGTCATTACTTAGCAACACTTCAGTCGTTCGAGATGAAACTTTTATCAAAAATAGACTATAGAATGGGCAGTCGATTAACATAAATTTAGTTTAAAATGCGTTCATTTGGAAATGTTTAAGTGAGTCACCGTGTCATGAATAAATTATCCATTTATCTGCCTTAAATAAATCATAAATAGAGAAAGATTGAAGATTGCTCAAAAACAGTCAACATTCTGCGGCCTTTCTGCTTTTTTCAAAAGAACACTTGAATAGACATTTTTATTTTAGGCAACATCACGTGTCTCAATCCATGTAAATCATCAATTTCATATCCGCAACGGCAAAGTAAATATTCTTTAATATTTGTTCAAAATTTAATCTATTTAATGCTTAGTTGGTTATTTACCACAACAATGGTATAAAAATCCTTCAAAACAACACTCATATCGAAACCTGTTTGGTCTATATGCTCTACAACAGCAACGATATCAAAGCTCTCACGGTTCTAATCCTCAACAACCTCAAGGTAATGTTATACTTTATGATTGACGAGAGTCTATGAGAAGCTTACTTGTTCTGCAAGATTCTTATATAATAATAATGTTTTAGTCTCGCTCAAAATTCCTCTTTTAACAAAAATTTATGGCAAACATCCTCTACATAACCAACCACTACGGCAATATCAAAATTCTTATGTTTATCAACCAACAGGCTAGTGCTTTTCTTTTTCATATTTATTGAATGTTTTATTTCTTTGTTTGTTTTTTCTTTACAGCTAGTGGAAATAATGCAAATAGATATGAATCACCAGCTAGTGAGTTATTTTCTTAGACAACAAAAATAGAATATTGAAATCAAATAAAATATTTAGTAAATGATCGTCTTCAAGCAATAGCTACTCGATATGAAATAAATGATACACTCACTCAACGT